AATTGCGGACAGATGGGAAATCGTTGCAAAGAAGAGAAAGAAGTGAAAGTCTTAAGGACGACCGTGGTTGGTGATACTTGGCAAACCGAAGATCTTGCAAATGACCAAATCAGCGATCCAGAGTTGGGCTTGGTGATTAACTGGAAAAACGCGGACCAGAGACCAACGTGGGGGGAAGTTTGCAGATATTCGCCGAACGTGAAGTCGTACTGGGCCCAGTGGAATTCCTTGGTAATAGATAACGGACTACTTCGCCGTGTGATCGAGAGACCGGAGGGACAAGAAGAGAGAGGCAGATCGTCATTCCAAGAAGAGGGTCCCAGAAGTCTTGGAGGAAGTTCACAATGGAACCAGCGGAGACATCTTGGTGTTACCAAGACACTTGGCAAGCTGCGTGAACGGTTCTACTGGGTGAACTGCAAAGAAGATGTGAGGGCCTGGTGTAAGAAATGTGACATTTGCGCAGCCATTAATGGGCCACAAAAGCGTGGTAAAGCCCCTATGCGCCAGTACAATGTTGGTAGTCCCTTCGAACGAATAGCGATCGACGTGGCTGGTCCTTTCCCGGAGACGAACGATGGCAACAAATACATTGTGGTAGTAATGGATTACTTCAGCAAATGGGTCGAGGCCTACGCGTTGCCAAATCAAGAAGCGTCCACGATTGCTGATGCCCTTGTTAAAGAATGGATCTGCAGGTTTGGTGTTCCCATGGAGCTTCATTCAGATCAGGGAAGAAACTTTGAGTCCAATCTGTTCCAAGGCGTCTGTGAAGTCCTGAACATCCGCAAGACCAGGACGACTGCTCTACATCCACAATCCGATGGGATGGTTGAACGCATGAACAGAACTATCAACCGTTATCTGGCCAAAGTAGTCTCTGACCACCAAAGAGACTGGGACAAATTTCTTCACCTGTTCCTGTTGGCCTACCGTTCATCCGTCCAAGAATCTACAGGGCAAACTCCAGCCAGCATCGTTATGGGACGGGAAGTGCGCCTACCCTGTGATCTGAAATTTGGTTGCCGACCGGGAGAAGAAGTCGCCGGAGAAGATTATGTCCACACACTACGTCAAAGGATGGACGACATTCATCAGAGAGTCCGCCTAAATATTCAAAGTGCTAGTGACCGAATGAAGGAACACTACGACATTCAAGCTGAGCATGGAGGATACCAACCAGGGAAGTTGGTGTGGCTATATAACCCGCAGAGACGTCGTGGGTTATCTCCGAAGCTACAATCCTCGTGGGAAGGGCCATACGAAGTCATGGATAGAATTAATGACGTCGTATACCGTATCAGAAAATTGCCAAAAGGAAAACCGAGGGTAGTCCATTTCAACCGTTTGAGCCCCTACCAAGGCGAAATAGAAGATCGTGCTGGGACCGTGAGAACCTGCAGCTTTGATCCCCCTGATTCGGAGATGTCCTTTGACGATTTCATGGCCCGATACAACAGCAGTGAGAAGGCTCGCTATGGTGTAACCAAAGAAGATCAACGAGACCTCTTTTCCGTGCCTCCTGATTATTCGCTCGCTCATTGTGTGGCTCGAGATTTGCGGATGTCCAGAGGAATCGCTGCGACGTTCAATGAGAAGTTTGGGCGTGTCGGAGAACTACGCCGACAGGATCCAGAGGTTGGAAGCGTCTTGAGGCTAACCGACAATGCACATGGTCAAGCAAGGCACATCTTCTACCTGGTCACCAAGGAATGGTCCCCGAGTAAGCCGACTTATCTCAATCTATGGAAGACCCTGATTGAACTGAGAGAAGCCCTGCTAAACAACAACATTGCACGATTAGCCATTCCGAAGCTGGCGTGTGGACTCGATGGTTTGAGTTGGCGTACAATCCGGAACATGATTGAAGTCTTGTTCAGATTTACGGGAATCGAGATCCTCGTTTGCTGCTACAACCCAAAGCTGAGATCGGGAGAGAAAACTGTAGACTGCTATTTCTACCAGACTTCGCAATGTACCAGGGGCCAGCTTTGCAAATACCTTCATTCACCGTGTACATCTCGGGACGAGCATGTACCTAAGAAGGGGGCAGTGTTGCGGACCCGTGTGGACTCGACCTAACCTAACTATATGTCCCGCCCTCAGATGACCTTAACATCGCATTAAAGAATAGACACAGTAATGATTCATTCGTTCGAGAAAAATCGAGTCCCACTCCCACTGGAATGGACTAGTACATACGAGAACATTCGAAAACCTTCTCTACGCACCTAACGATCTATGGACTATTCTAGAGTTCTTTACCTGTCGGTATAAAAGCCGGCGGCTGTGGCCTACAGGGGGCAGTTATAAATATACCAGTGCAGTTGACGCGCAAAAATTCAAAATAAATTCTTAGTTATAAATCGTTTGTAAATAGTTCTATAAGTCTTTTATCGTTATTGTTTTTCTTAATTAGTATTAAATAAATAGTGTTTAAATAAATTGTGACTTTCTATCCACACGGAACCGACGAAAAACGTAACAATACAATAAAGAAATTATCTACTAATAGTAAAATAAATTATCTACCCTTATCTACTGATAGTTCCGTTTTGGTTCCGTCAACTAATTTTGTCTAAATAAGTGCATAAAACACATCACTACTGCAAAGTATTTTGTCTGGGGAACTGCCCTTTGCCAATGCTGTAGCAAGTTAGGATGTCTTTCTTCTTTGTCGATGTTAGGATCCTAGTCATCCTAGTAAAAGAGATATACCTAATTATTAAATAAATTAAAAAAAATATTTTTTCACTATTCGAGGTAGCTGTTATTTTGAAAATACATTTTTGAAGTGTAAATAATGTTTAATATTCATTTTCTATAATATTCAAATAATATTTAATAGCAATGGTTGTTAATATATATTATTAATACCTACTTATTTAATAACAGGTAATTTAAACACCTAGTAGCACATATACAGGGTTGTTCACCACATACGACACGGAGTATTGTAACTAAACGATTAGATTTTTATAAATTGTACGTTTTGGGTTCGTTGAAGGACTATTAGAGCTACAATTTAAAAATATTTTTACAAGATACAGAGTGTCTCAAATGTGTAAAAAATATTATAGTTGTATTTTTTTAAATGGAACTCCCTGTATATTATTCTATTTTTAGATTCTACAATTAAAATAAAGGTAAACTTGATTAAGGTTTATCACACTTAAACCTTACCGTTTTTGAAATATTTTCAATTTTATAAAATTGCAGTAAAAATGTTAAGGCTTCATTTCTCCAAGGGTATCAAAGTTTTTAATCTAAATATTTACTGAAGATAATTTATTGATCAGATATTGTGTTGCAATAATACAAATTTTACTACCTTATACAGAGTGTCCAAAAATTTATATTAAATAATTACTAGCTTTAAACGGCAACAACTTGTTTAATTTAAATGGAACACCCTATATATTTTACGTGAATCAGATGCACAATGTAATTGTCTATCAAATTGTATTGTTCCATTTTTTACCCATCTACTCAAGTTTTCATAGAAAATGCATTTTCTTATAATTTAGACTTCATTTATCACTATACCCATGGAATATTGACATTTTAGCTTATTTTTAAAGATGTAACAAATTTTCAAAGGGTACAGATACTAATATTGTCGATATAGTTCGCTTATTTAATTAAAAAAAAATAAAAAAACTGTTTAAATATTTTTTGTTACAGAGGACCAATTAATATGACCCCAGTATTTAAACTACATTAATTGACTGTTTACGTTGTAGTAATAATTGCTCCAAATACTAAAAAACTGAATTTTGTGTGTGTATTAGACAGTGTGGTAAAAAGTAACACCTTATAAATTTTATTTCATTTATTGACGAATGCTTATTTATAAAAAAAGACCCATTCATTTTCATAACTTATTATTATATTGATTTCTGAGTCAAATCCACATTTATTTAGAATAATTTATTAATTAAAACAATTTAAGTTTTGGTGTTTTTGGTAGGAAATAATGGTGGGATATTTAATTGGTATACTCTTTTACAAAGATTTAAATAGTTTTTTTTATGCCAATGGGCTTGCAATATTTTCCACCTGTACATTTTGTACATATTATGGTGCTATAAAAAAATCTGAAATGTCAATATTCCATGGGTATAGTGATAAATGAGGTCTAAATTATAAGAAAATGCATTTTCTACGAAAACTTGAAGAGATGGGCAAATAATGGTATAATACAATTTGATAGACAATTACATTGTGCATCTGATTCACGTAAAATATATAGGGTGTTCCATTTAAATTAAACAAGTTATTGCCGTTTAAAGCTAGTAATTATTTAATATAAATTTTTGGACACTCTGTATAAGGTAGTAAAATTTGTATTATTGCAACACAATATCTGATCAATAAATTATCTTCAGTAAATATTTAGATTAAAAACTTTGATACCCTTGGAGAAATGAAGCCTTAACATTTTTACTGCAATTTTATAAAATTGAAAATATTTCAAAAACGGTAAGGTTTAAGTGTGATAAACCTTAATCAAGTTTACCTTTATTTTAATTGTAGAATCTAAAAATAGAATAATATACAGGGTGTTCCATTTAAAAAAATACAACTATAATATTTTTTACTTATTTGGGACACTCTGTATCTTGTAAAAATATTTTTAAATTGTAGCTCTAATAGACCTTCAACGCACCCAAAACTTACAATTTGTAAAAAGCTAATCGTTTAGTTACAATACTCCGTGTCGTATGTGGTGAACAACCCTGTATAATAACATGTTAGTAGGTATAAAGTATTAAAAATTATTATTGTTTTAGGCTCTCTAGGTTATGTCATGCAGATGTTCGATTTTGGGCTATATTCTCTATTAATATGATTTTTAAATAAATCTGTGCACTGATTATATATAATTTTAATGTTTTTCTTAACATCTATCATAATTTTTTTAAAATAAATAATCATATTACTTACATTAGGAGCTTTGAAAAGTTTTGGGTTACTTTTCTTTCTTCGCTTTTTTTTCATTGAAATATCCACGTCTACAGCCAGATACCGAGCTATTTCTACTGTATAGTTTTTTTTTCACAATGCTCATTGTTATACTGCTAAAAATTCAACAAATTAACTATAATTTTAGCAAAAACAAACTTAAACCATATAATAACAATGAAAATATAGTATCCCTATCGATCGCAGTGCCTCTACTGTCAAACCGAGGAACCTGCTTAAAAGTGGGGACAGATATTTCAAATATGCCCATTGCCGATAAACCTCCTTTTTTAAGCCCTCCATACTATTCATACATAATCAAGGTCATAACTGAATAGAATGTCAAAACAAAATAGTACCTCGTGACGTCACTATCGTAAGCGAGGTCAAAGCCGACGTTTTAGCGGGCTTCTCATCTATTTGAATTTTAACCATTTATTACGGCATTAATACACCAGATATTTTAAAAATATTTTACAGAGGTGCTTTTGGGGTCTAAATGATCATTTTAAGACAAAAAAATACACGCAAGGGGCCTATTGTACTTTATATGATTACGAGCTTGATTTGGATCCATTATCCAAAGATGCAAAAGTTGGGTTGAATAAAATTAAAGACTTCTCTAGAAATTTAGGATTCAGTCAGTCCAGTAAGCTCAAAACCGGCATTACTTTAAAAATACCTGTACCACTACCAGTTTCAATGAATTTGAAGAGGAAACGGAATTCACTTTAAATATACCTTTTTTAATTACCTTACCTATTTGCTGTTATATATTATGTGTATATGTTGGAGGCAGATGCCGAATTCGGCCTATGTCCGAAATAATTAGACATATGGCGATTTGTCCATACTAAACTTGAAAGATGCGTGCAACTTCGTGGTTATAAATAGTCTTTATATAACTTCTTTGCGGAGGGGGTTAATCTTTTTTTGGTACAATATAACAACAAAAGATTAACACCCTCCGCATAGAAGTTGAAACCAATGCAATCAAAACTCATCCGCGTAACTTTGTGGTTATAGGTAGGTATATTTAATTATTTCGAACATAGGCCGAATTCGGCATCTGCCTCCAACATATATACTATATTATACTGTTATTATATTATGTGTTATACATACGTAAAAATAAAAATCTTCTTTTGTAGTTTGTTTTGATGACATCTTAAATAATAATTCAGTTATGTAAGATTTAGTTTATTTAACAAATAAAATAATTGCACCGTTATGAAAGACACCTTTGAGGCACCTATATACAACATTAATAACAAACTAAGACTAGATTTTAATCTTTCTCTGAAATTAATTATGTTAACAGAATATAAAGGCGCATTCTCACGACTCGTCTACTTGGCAAGTACCTACTTTTTTATTAGCATACAGGATCTGGCGAGAATGCGGCGTAGTTCCTATAACTTAGAAATTCTATATAGATGCCCGACGCACCATGTATACCCTGTATACCAATTACAAATGTTTGTCAAGTACACGAGTCGTGAGAATGCGCCATAATAGAAAAACTATGTATTAAAACAAAGTAATGCTATAAGTACATTTAAAAAATATCAGTTTTATACAGCGGTAATACTAAAATAAGATTGTCACAGACTAATTTACGCAGATGCGGCAACCAATGCAAATGTGAAAATTGTAGAAATTATATTTTGACGAATTCGCCGGGCTCAATTTTTCAGTTAATATGTTACGGTTAAGGTCCGATGTCCGGTTAATGTTGACATTACCCGGTTAATCTCGAGAATAACACACAACAAAACAACCAAAAACATAAGCTAACCCAAACATTAACCTGTTAATGTCGACATTAACTGGACATCGGACTTTAACAGTAACAAATACATATTATAGGCGAATTTTGAAGGGACCAGAAAAATATCCTGCCTTCGATTGCTATCTACCTACAGTCACAAATTACCTATAACAGATGCGAAAGAAAGCGACTGCATCGGAAACCGCTCGGCAAGCCCGACACGCCTATTGAGTGGTGTAAATACACCAGTCGTTTAGTCCGGAAACCTATGCTGTGTCGTATTCGCTTGCTGGAATGACATAGTGCGTGGTTATATGTTTCTTTTTAAAAACGCGTGTAGGATTTTTGTTGAACTTTTGAACTGTTATTTCTAAGTTTTGGTAATTTGTATATCTTATTTAAAATGGGATGCAAATGTGTTTATTTATAAGGAAAAAAAAGATATTTATAGTATAAAAAATTAATTTATTTAACAAAATTTAATTAAAAATGTTACAAAATAGTTACCTTTCTATTGGTTCTATCGGACTTTTTTCGACTATATAAATCTTTATTTGTAAACTTTAATACATCAAATATTTTCAATCTAATTAATCATTTAATGATGTAAATAAGAGGAAATTTCTCACATGGGTGGTCAAATTTTATAGTTTTCATTATATCAAACAGCCTCTGAGAAATGTTTTCAACTCAAAATGCCTTTAATTATGTTTGACTACATCATTAAAAAGGGTGTTCAAATACATCAATGTGATATTTGTCTAAAATTTGCAAAAAAATCCGAATCTCTGGATAACTCGAAATTATTTACCCATTTAAAAGCCTTTGATCATGAAAGTGGAAAAATTTGTTCATTTTATTTACAGGCTGGAAAAATTATTTAAATTAAATTTTGATGAGTTTTGCACTGAAGAAAACGTTCAGAGGCTGTTTGATATAATGAAAACTATAGAATTTGACCACCCATGTGAGAAATTTCCTCTTATTTACATCATTAAATTATTTATTAGATTGAAAATATTTTATTCATTAAAGTTTACAAAAAATAAAGATTTATATAGTTGAAAAAAGTCCGATAGAACCAATAGAAATGTAACTATTTTGTCACATCTTTAATTAAATTTTGTTAAATAAATTAATTTTTTATACTATAAATATCTTTTTTTTCCTAATCACCTACGAGCTGATATAATATGACGAACAATCTATTAAATTACTGCGAGATTATACAGAAAAGTCCACAGACTTCGAGACATAGGAAAATCAAGTCCATTTAGCGTGTGTCCAAATTTTGACAAGTTTTCAAAAATGACAGTTTTGTTTAGACTGACGTTTAATTTCACCTGACTTCTCGGTGAATGATTTTTTTTATGGGGGTACATAAAATCTAAAATTTACGGCCATGAAGAAATTCAAAACTTGGAGCAGTTAAGGCAGAAAATATTTAATGCCTTTGACACTGTCACCCCTGATATGTTATCCAATGTGAGGAGGGGATTTTATGATCGTTTGGGTTATTGTTTAATGCAAGAGGGAGGCACTTTTGAACAATTTTTGTAATTTTTTAAATTTCATTATCCTGTTTTTTTTACCGCTTACCCATTACCTACCTTGACGAACATGGGAAAACGAAGGTCCTTTTCAGGACCACAAATATTTTGATTGAGAAAATTGGTAACTTTTTTTGGATTAAAAAACAAAAGTTGTTAATATAATACCAATTTAAAAGTGTTTTAGTAGTTTTAATACACGCTATGATATAAAATTTATTATTATTATAATGTACATTATTAATACTATTGTTCATTCGAAATGGCATTAAGGCCCAATTGCAACAATGATTTAAATTTTTCTTAAAGATAAGTAGAGCTTCGAATGAGCTGTATTTATATTTACTTTAATATTCACCTTAAATGAGGGAATTTGACTGATACAATTTTTGAATTTGAATTGTTTTTAATGATACTAACAATTTTAGTTCAATTTTTAATAAAAGTTATTTAATATTAATAGAAATCCAAGAGATTTGAAACCTTTTTTAGCGATTTATAACATTCTCAAATGAATTACAGGTGCCCTTTTTTCTATGAAAATCACACAGCTTTTTTCATAGTCGCTGCAGTTGCTATAGCTATAAAAAACTAATTTTTTAAGGTGTGAAAATTGCGACACACGCTAAATGGACTTGATTTTTCGTATGTCTCGAAGTCTGTGGACCTTTTTGTATGCCTCGATAACATATTGGTGCAGATTATTTTCACCCAAACAAATAATAACCCAAACTATACATTGATGCGGATTGTCTGTGAACTCTTTCTGAAGGTCACAGAAACCTGAACGCGTAATTCGGTGTTCTTTCGCATCTGTTGTAGTTAATTTGTGCTACAGTAGCCACGCCTCTCCTTTGTTAAGAAATTAAAAAGAGAAGATTTCAGAATCAAATAATTATTTTAATTTTATTTGTTTTTTTTAAGTTTTTAACATTAACAATAATTAATGACAAATAATAATTAGAAAAACATACTAATACCATTTTTAAAATGTATAATTATTTATTTATTTGATATTTTTTGTAATTTTTTAATGAGCATTACAAATAATTTCTTCAGAAACATTTTCTGGGTATTTCGCCATTAGAAGAAAATCTGCGAAATAAAATAGTTATTTTTGGTAAATAGCGCTGCGTTGGTCCAACGGACACCAATTTGTCAGCGGTTATATTACTAATAACAAATTTGTCTAGCGGACAAAAAAATGCTTAACATTTCAGGAGGTATCTTTTCGTGGTTTAAGCGTCGATATAGATCACTAAGACGTAATTTTTGGAAATTTACCACCTGACGGGATAAAATTAGCGGTAAAATTTGTATAGGAGTATAAAATTTTGCATATATAAAGGTTTCTTAAGTGACGTAATTAAGCACTAGCCATTTTTGGAAATTCATACCCTAAGGGCGCATAAAGTTACCTGTGTTAAGGGATTTTAGTTAGGTGTGAAAATTTGTATAAAAGTCGTTATTATCTGGTCTAAAAATATGAAATTTTTCACAAAAAGTTTTTTAAATGACGAAATGAGCAGTAAAAAGCGATTTTTGGAAATGCTCTCTTCGGGTGGTGATACAAAAAGTGAAAACATTACGAAAATATCTTACTATCTAGAAATATAAAAGTTTACCCTAAGTACCCTTAAGTGAAGTAACTGAACACTAAGAAGCTTTTTTGGAAATACATTTCCTAAGGGGTAATAATTAGGATTGAGAGTTTGCATTCTTCGTAACAAACTGTTATAACTAGTTTTAGAAGCACAGAAATTTGCACATAAATGTAACATAATTTGATATTGGG